TTTTGTCTGTCCTGTTTCAATTATCTATTATCTTTTCTCATTAAACAAAATTTCTCCTGTAGTTACTGATTGGGGTATGACGCCTTTATATCTTTTAAGTTTATCCATTTAACTCTTATTTAGGCTTCAATATGTACCCTAAAGTTATAACATTCAATATAATACATAACTTCCATTCAGATTCTGCTTGGTACATTCTTAAAATACACACTATAATCTTAAAAAAAGAAAAACGTTCACTTCTTATCTTCCTCCTGCACATTCTTTTCCGGTCCAGTTCTTCTTTGTGGTGGCCATTTCTGACCACCGCTGCAACCGCCTTCGGGAAAGGGAGTAATGGCCAGCTGAGGAGGAGAGATGCAGCTCTCCTCAACCCTGCTGGCGGTCTCCCCACTCTTCACCACCTCTATGGAGTGGCTTAGCCCCGAAACCAGCCGGCTCGGGGCGCTCCAGCGATGAGCCCAGACCGAAACCGCGCACGATCACGGATTTATGTCTGTCGCCGAAGAGATTTCAAACCAGAAGTCCCCAATATAGGTAGTCCTTGACTTACAACCGTTCATCTAGGGACCGTCCAGAGTTACAACAGCACTGGAAAAAAGCGGCGTATGGTTTTTCACGCTTATGACTGTTGCCGCATCCCTGGGCTCATGTGATCTTAATTTGGATGCTTGGCAACTGGTTCATATTTATGATGGTCGCAAAGTCCCAGGTTCCCCTTCTGCGACCTTCTGACAAGCAAAGTCAACGGGGAAGCGAGATTCACTTAGCAACCGTTTTCCTAACTTAACAACTGCAGGATTCACTTAACAGCGGCAGCAAGAAAGGTCGTAAAAGGGGGCAAAACTCACCTAATCACTGTCTCGCTTAGCGGTGGAAACGTTGGGCTCGGTTGTGGTCGTAAGTCGAGGACTACCTGTAATTTTGGGCCGTGGCTGAAAAAAAAAAAAAAGAACTAAGATGCTAGTCCTCATGGTTCTCAATGAGAACCAGATTTAGGAATGTCCAAACCGATCTGTCTCATTCGGCTCCGTTGCCGACTCATCGCTGACGGATCTCCAGCTTTGCAGGCAAGTCTTGGCTTCTGGATCCCTTTTGATCTCCCGGGGGATCTCGGAGGGAGGGAATCTCCGTCCAAATGGAATTTCTTTGGATCTCGGTTCCTCTCTTTCCTTGGCAGAGCAAGGGGCAGCCCTCCGTCCACCTGAAGCGGGATTTCTTCCTGTCTAACTCGTCCCGGGCTCGATCGGAGCAGTTCATCAACCTGCGGGAAGTGAGCACTCGTTTCAGGCTGCCTCCCGGTGAATACATCGTGGTCCCTTCGACTTTTGAGCCCAACAAGGAAGGGGACTTCGTACTTCGCGTGTTCTCAGAGAACAAAGCCGGCACAGTGTAAGTCATCCTTTCCCAGGGCTTCAACAAACTCTGGTGGGTTGGAATCATGCTTGCTTGGGAAAACCCTCATAAAACGTCCTTCATTTTATAAGTCTGCCCTAAATTTTTCCAGTCTAGTCTAGTGAAAGAGAAGGACCAGGGGAGACAGGATAGCAGCCTTCCAATATTTGAGGGGCTGTCATAGAGAGGAGGAAGGGGTCAAGCTATTTTCTAAAGCACCCAAAGGCCAAACAAGGAATAATGGATAGAAACTGATCAAGAAGAGTTTCAACCTGGAAATAAGGAGAAACTTAGGACAATCAACCAATGGAACAGAATTTGCCCTCGGACGTTGTGGGAGCTTCATCACTTGAGACTTTCAAGAAGAGACTGGACTGCCATTTGTCAGAAATGAAGTAGGTTTTACTGCTTGGGCAGGGGGTTGGAGTAGATGACCTACAAGGTCCCTTCCAACTCTGTTAATCCGTTAATAAATGGTGTAGGGTCTCCTGCTTGGGTAGGGGGTTGGACTAGATGACCTACAAGGTCCCTTCCAACTGTGATTTTCTGTTAAATCGGTTTTCAGAATTAATTACAGGTAGTTCCCAGCTTACTGAATTGAATACTTCTATTTGTGCGATTAGACACGTAAGGAATTTTGTCTCTTAACAACCACAATTCAACCCAAATTTTCCATTGCTAAGCAAGACAATTGTCAAGGAGGTTCTGCCCCGTTTTACGACCTTTCTGGCCACGGTTGTTAAGTGAATCAGTGCAGTTGTTTAGTTACCACTACGGTTGTTGGATGAACCTGGCTTTGCCATTGACTTTGTCAGAAGGTCGCCAAAGGGGGGATCATGTGACCCTGGGGCACTGCGACCGTCGTAAATATGAATCAATTGCCAAGCGCCTGAATTTTGTTCACGTGACCATAGGGAATGCCACAACGGTCCTAAGTGTGAAAAATGGTCACTGTTTTCAGTGCCGTTGTAACTTTGAACAGTCACTAGTGGAGGCCTACTTGTGTTTTTAAATATTGGTGTTTTTTTAAAAGTGCAAGAGATGCAGTGGGCAAAATACTAACACACAGTTTAGACTAAGATTCCTAAGGTAGAATTCTGGGTTTGGGGGTGTGTGTTTCTTCTATTTTACCAGCATTTAACCCTGTTTTGTGGCTTTCACTAAAGTTTGTACGTTTCCCATCCCAAAAGGGGAGTGTAAACTTTGTCCTTTTCATTTCCTGTTCACTAAGATAGTCCTTGATTCATAACCAGTTGCTTAGCAACCATTCAGACACCCACCCCTCTCCCAAAAAAAGTGCTTATGATCTGGATTCAAAGTTCTGACGGCTGCCATACTCCACCCCTTGCAGTCATATTTTTGGCCAATAAGCAAATTTACATCCTACAGTCACGAGATTGCGATTTAGGATTTTTTTACTGGAAGCCTAGCTTCAGTTCTGGTTTTTCTGCAAAAAAAATGCCGATTGTAAATAATTAATTATTGTGATGTTCACCTTAAATATGTGTTCGCGTAACGACCACTGCAAAAAAAAAAAAAAAAGGTCCTAAAATCAGATCAGTCTCCCAATGACCTGCTTAATGACCGGCATGGCTTATAACCACAATTCCAGGCTCAATTATGATGATAAAATGAGGATTATCTGTATTTTAGGCTGTGTTTTTTGAGGGAGTTATTTCTGAGTCTCATTTTGTTCTTTCTTGGTTTCCGTCCTTCTGCAGGGAGATGGATGACCAGATCCAAGCCAGCCTTCCCGATGAGGTAGAAGCTTCCGATGACCATTTTGAGGGAATTCAGGAGCAGGAAATAAATTTCCCTTCTCCATTGAAAGGAGAAATACGTGTCTTCCTTCGTAGGGAGACATATCTCCAAAAACGATCCACTTGGGACAAGATGGAGGGTTTTAATCTGGCTTCCATCGTTGATTTTATTCGTCGGAAATCCGGTCCTCGTTTTCTGACGCGGTCTCCTTTTTTCCCCGTTTTATCTAGAAAATACTTTCGGAAAGTGAGATTGATGAAGGCTTTAAACAGCTGTTTAAGCAGCTGGCAGGGGCGGTAAGTATGCGAAGATGAGAAACGGCACAAATTCTAAAAAATTAAAATGAAAGAATAAAAAACTAAAAATTGAACTGGCCGTAAAAATTGGAGAGAAAGAGGTGGGGGATCATTTTGCCTCTGTTTGGATTTACTGGTTGAATTGTCTAGTTAAAGCGAGAGAGATTCTAATCATTACCTTCATTTAACGATCCCATAATCCCTTGCGAAGTGGAGTCTGGGCAACTGAATGGAGCTCGCCAGATTGTTTACTGGCCGGATGCCCTTCCTGTCACCAATGGGGAGTTTTGTTCAGCAGATAAATTCTCAGTGTGCCCAGGGAGAGAAATATCTCACAGCCTCCTGATCGCTCCACCTCTAAGCCTGTTCAGATACAGACTTTAAAATCCTCTTTTTTTTCCCAAAGGAACACGTGATATAATCTAATCTAATTTCCTTTTCCTTCCAGGATATGGAGATCAGCCCACGAGAACTGCAAACCATCCTCAATAAGATAATTGGAAAACGTAAGTGCCAAGATAGCATTTCGCCTCTCTCTGCGGTTCTTTTTTTTAAATAAAACAGTGCATTAATAAAAAAGAGAAAAAATAACTGTTTTGCTGCAAATCCTGAAACTTGGGGAAGGCTGCTTTCGGCCCAATCCGCCTCACAGGGTTGTTGTGGGTAAAATAGGCACCAGGAGTATTGGGTTGACCAATATACGGGTCGACCTATGACCAATAGAGCCCAGTTGCTAATTGAGACATTTGTGAAGTGAATTTTGTCCCATTTTACCGCCTTTCCTACCCCGATCCTTAAGTGAATCACTGCAGTTGTTAACTTAGTGACAGAGTTGTTAAGTGAATCCGGCTTCCCCGTTGACTTGGCTTGTCGAAAGGTCGCAAAAGAGGATCGCATGACCCTAAGACACTGCAACCATCATAAGTACATGCCAGTTGCCAAGTATCCGAATTTTGATCACATGACCATAGGGATGCTGCAGTGGTCATAGCAGCAATTAGACTTATATACCACTTCACAGTGCCTTTACAGGCCTCTTTAAGCGGTTTACAAAGTCAGCCTATTCCACCCCAACAATCCGGATCCTCATTTGACCCACCTTGGAAGGATGGAAGTGTCAGCTGGTGAACTATTGGGGGTGGGAACATTTCAATCCCTTGATATATGTGATGTACGTGCCTATTTCCTCAGATTCAGAATAATGTCAGCTGGTGCTCTGTTCAAAATCCAAGAAAGAAATACTTAAGACTCTTGTAATTAGAGAAAAGATGTCTTTTACTGGAAGTCAGGTGGTAGCAACGAGAGAATTCTGAATCTGGGTAAATAGGCACGCACATCACATATATCAAGGGAGTGAAATGTCCCCACCCCCAACAGTTCAAACGGTTCTTCCAATTAAAAGTTGTGAACCTCATCATGCGGACATCTCCAGGTGGTGATGATTAGTTGACCTTGGCTTACTCAGATAAAGGTTTGCAGTTGCGCAGAGAAGAGAAAGCTAAGCAAGAAATAGAAACCATCCTCAGTGTATACAATATAAGTTAGTAACCCCTCCAGCTCACTTCCCATACTTTTTTCCCCTTCCACCTCCCGTTACTCATGACAGCCAGAAAGAAGCAAAGCAAAGGAAGAAAATCTTGAAGGCTGACAGGAAGGCTGAGTCAACTTAAGCTGGTCAGGATTGAACTTCCTGGCTGTGGGTAGAGTTAGCCTGCAATACTGTATTCTAATCCCAGGGAGGGAGGGAAGGGAGGAAAGAAGGAAAGGAAAGGAAAGGAAAGGAAAGGAAAGGAAAGGAAAGGAAAGGAAAGGAA